TTGCCGATCGCCGCGGCCTTTTCCATCGCCTTTGCTTTCGCCACCCACCACAGTTCATGGTCGTTGCGCAGGCTTTTTATCAGCCTGCACTTAGGCTGACTTTGTTCTTTATCATGTTCAGAGCCAGGTGGGATGAGTTTTCGGGCATCCATCAGATCGGTGGATGCTGCTGAGATCCACGGTTTTATTCTAGCCTTATGGTCAACCTCACAAGCAGATATCACTGCTGTTTCCACAGCCTTTTTGATATCATTCCATCCTGCTTCCGGATGGGAATCGCTTAAATGGTCGCCTAACTGTCTTTCTAGTTCCTCCTGAAATATATTTTTCACCTTATTATCATTAAGTAAAACCCTAAGAGGATTTCTTACGGTGTCTTTCCTACGCCCAGTAAGCTTCAAACAAATACGCGCTCGCACTATGGCATGATCTGAATCTAGACATGTGCTCCAGAACGAGCGACAGTCCTCTATCGAACCCCTCCATCGGTGGCTGATGGCGATGTGATCTAGTTGAGTCCAACGTTGAAACGACTTTGGAGGTCGCCAGGTCAACAGATGCTTTTCCTTATGCCTAAAGTTAGTGTTTGCTAAGAATAGGCGGTTGTCTGAGCATGCTTGCAACAGACGGTCACCATTGTCTGTTCTGTTAGCCGCGACACCATAACATCCACCTAGGTGTCTCTCCTGCTCACTCAGTCTACCTACTTGAGCATTAAAGTCACCAGCCATTATTACTATATCAGAGCGCCTAGCTTTTTGGAGGAGGTCCGAAAGCTTTCTGTAAAACTCATCTTTTACATCGTCTGAACTGCAGTCAGTGGGGGCATAGGCAGATACGATGAAGAGGCAATGGCGATTGTCCCTATCTTTCCGAATCCTTACTGTCCCGTTTAGTCGGACAGCGCACAAGCGACTATCTACTGGGATCCAGTCAAGGAGAGATTGTTCTGCCTCACGACTCAATGCTATGCCTACGCCAGCAAGACCCCGGGAAGCAGCATCAGGGCTACCGGATACACGAAGAATAAATCGAGCTGCTTCTTTTTGACAAGGTGAAATCAGATTAATAATTTTACTAGAATCCTGTATGCGCGTTTCCGAGACGCAGCATACATCGATGGCACGAGTTTCTAAAGTCCTAGCTAAGGAAGCCTGTTGACCTATTTGACACAATGTCCGTACATTAAATGCTCCAACACGTAGTCTAGAGCGGGGTTTACGGAGACCAGGAACGACGTTTCGCGAACTCGTGTCGTCTGCATTAGCTGTGCACTGTGATAAATGAATGCGAGTAGGTGTCGTAGAGATAAGAGAGACATTAGGGGGTGTAGAAAGGATTTGATTTTGACCAATTTGGTCTCGCGTGCTGTTACGGGTATGAGGGCGGTTGTCACTTCCCGGCTGCCTACACCGTGGAAGGGTGTTTCTTGAGGGACCTGAAAAGGAAGATAGATTAGTGTTGGTGCGTGACCGCAGGGTCCAAGGGACAACTGCTTGAGGCCGGTCACGCACGGCCTTTTTAAGAAATGTTTTTTGAGGATTAGCTCCGTTCTTAAAGGCCCTTAGTGGGCACCCTTACCCAAGGAGACGGAAATCCGTGAGTTAGGGGAGGTGTGACATTTTTAGGGCCGACCTTTTCTAACCCTTCCTTCCTTGTGAGAAGGCAGCATCGCTGCAGATGCTGGTTGTCCGAGGGAAACACCTTACTGCTGTCACACCCCTCTGCAGTCAGCAGTACGACTTCGCCCTCAGACCTTGGGTAGCTGCTTTTAGTCTCATCGTTCTCCAATCGACCTGTCTGGCATGGTAGAACCTTGAGGAACATATGTTCCAGCCAGTATAGCTCGGTTGGGTCATCACGATAGGCAAGCCCGACCACCACGTCAAGGTAGCAGCTACGGTCGGGTACTTGAATCAATTATCACTTTGTCTCTTACATTCAGCATACCTACTTAGTCAGTGGCCCAAATCTAGTAATCTATATCATTCACTCTATAACGCGATTTGGTAAGCCTCCTCGTTTTTAAAAAACTACTTTATTTGAGATAAAATGATCTCCCATTAGAGAAAAATGAGTCAGTTGTAATCACAAGTCATTTGTAGATCACTAAAGTAATTTCTCGAAAAGTAATATCGTGGTTAGCTAACTTAGATTTCCTTTTGAATTGATGCCCATACTTAATCCGTATGCTTAAAGTTTTGAGGCTTTGCAATCTAGCCAGATGCTGTTCTCGTTAATCTCCTGGTCGGATAGTTCATTCGTTATCCTAATAAAATTAATGACCTAACTAATTTCTGAATGCGATAATTACCACATAAACAGGTTGAAATATTCGTGATCATGAACTTGCATAAGTTTTCATTTCTCTACGTCCCATCAACTCCTATCTATAGAGCCCTTTAATTCCCTGATTAACAAACCACTATATGTACTGGATTGTGTTAATCTATATGAACGAATAAATATAATTTACCTAAGTGATTAAAGTCCGTTTTCAATATATTTACACGTTCTTATATGCTCTGTTATTGTCTATTATTTAAACTGATAATCTATCATGATAATCAATAAATCGTTGTAAATATATTGGAAAAAATTCAAAGCATGATTTATACTCAACTTCTTTATCAAATGCGCAGCTGTCACTCCTGGTTCATACTAATTTGTTATTTAAGCAATTATATACTTGCTGATAGAAATGTAGAATATAGATGGGGTCAGTGGTCTGCGATGCCTTTAACGTGTTCCGTTACTTGCGGTAGTGGAGTCAGATGTCGAATTCGAAGTTGTCTTGATGGATATGGTAATGTACAACCATCAACAATGTGTGAAAGTTCAAGTCCAGATGAAGCTAAATACTGTACACCGTGTTTTGTTAATATACGTTGCCCACGCATTCCAGGATGGGGAATATGGAGTTCATGGTCATCATGTCTTCCAGCAAGTGCTCAGAAAACTCATGAGCAGGAATGTCTTCCTGGAATTAGAACCCGTTACAGACTTTGTAACAATCCTCCTCCAGAACCACATGGATTCAATTGTTCTGGCATTAACCAACAGACTACAGAATGTGATTACAACTGTATGGATGATACTTATAATAGCCTCCGTGATATTGTTCATAAAATAGATTTTCAAGTTGCAAAAGATCAACTTAACTCAAATGCATATCAAAATAGTCTACGAATGCGTGTTAAGCAAAGAGTTCGAATGGACTGTGTAACACCAGCTTACAATCTTGCCAAAAGGTTAACTTCTCGAGGAATTTTCGGTCTAACTTCTCAACGATTTAAAGAGTATACTTTGATAACAAAATGGCTTAAAAATGGAAGATTAATAAATCCAGACGATTCTAGTTTAGGATTTATATCCAAAAGATTTTATAAAACTGGAAATACTGTGACTAATCAAGACAAACTTCTTAATGAAGAAATGAAATGGAATATACTGCCAACGACATCTTCATTCCAGATGGAAGATACATACCTAGTTTTTCCAAGTATAGAACATGATGATCAAGGTTTTTATTCCTGTCAAATGACAATTGGAAATCATAAGTGGGATATAATTTTTTATAACTTAATTGTAACTGGAATAAAATATATTGCATTAGAAGGTGATCCGTTTTATCTTTATTCCAATCTAGGATATTTTAATGCATTGGATAGTACAACTGTTTGGATGGAATCAGCTCAAATAGTATGGGAATTGAATGGTCATGAATTTGCACGTAATTTAGCTTTACGATTAAACCGACGTATTCACTTAATTCCTTACTTAAACTTAACACATCATGGGACGTGGAAATGCTTTTTACATATACCAGCGTATGGTTTACCAAGTCAAGTCGGTAACCCATTGACATCTATTAGTAGAATTTATTTAATTAATGAATTTTATTTAAAAATTTTTCCAGTACAACCTACTTTATGGCAATCAATTGGATATCTATTCACCTCTGGAGTGTTGGAAAAAACTACTGTAATCTTACTAACGATTGGTTTACTTATAACTCTAATGATATTATTGAATATATGGGCTGCCAGATGTTGGATAAAACGAACACTTACAACTGTTCAGCAAAAAGCTATTATACAAGAATTGTTAGATAATGAATGTAGATTATTATTGACCTGTAAAAAACGGGCTTATACAAATAGAAATAGATTACTACCACTAATTTTACAAGAAAGTCAATGTTTACGGAAAAAGGTAGAATTTTAAGTTTACATGATGAACAACAACAAACTGGAACTCCGCGTAAATTGATCAGATCAGTGGATCTCAACTCAGTAATACATTGAGTGATTTCAAAAAAATTCATTGCTATCAGCAATGTTTATTAAAAATGTAACGAACTACTTGTATTAATTTGGAAAAATACATAATGTGTAAAGAGATTACCTTGAGAAAAACATTGCGATATCGGCTTCTTTCTATATGCTACATAAAATTCTTGGAAATTAAACAACAATCTATTTTTTATTACTATCACAATTGGAAATTTATTTGCTCACAGAAACCAGGAATGAAAATGAAAATAGCTCAACATAGATTTACTTCTATAGATTCCTTCCTTTCAAATGCTTATTCAGTGTTTGTCATTTTGAATATTGTTATTGTTCAGTATTATTTTGAAATGAAACAAAATACTCAAATTTAAAATAAAAATTAAAATAATATTTAGTAATTTTCAAAATCTAGCATTATGAACATACTTGTTAGACTATTATTGTAAGTGATGAAATTTATCATCATACACAAGTAGTAATCATTCGTTTACAATTTATCCAATGTATCAATATCAAGAAGTGAAGACGAAACAAATAGACTTTGATTCAAATAAATGGTATCATAAAAAGTTCAATAAAAACTCCAAAAATCATAAATCAAATGGATACAAGTCATAGTGATTAATTCATTATGATGAATGAAATATTTTTAATGAAAATGTAATTTCAATGATTATTTTATCGAATCACTTTATATGCATATGAATATCATGTGTTGTCTAACAATTTACCTATCTAAACATTTTCTTACTCCAACTGTTTGGTTGATATATTAAGTTTTTTCTCTTTGGTAACTAATCTTGGGAAAAATAAAATTCCTTCGGTTTACATTATTCACTTACTCTTGATATGATACAATAACTACGTTTCATTCTGTGTATCACGTCACTGATTATTTGATTCGGAAAATATACAGATAGAAATTAATTTGTCTAAAGAACAATAATTTACTTTAGAAAACGAATTGACATTTTGCTCATATGATATTTTTACAGTTCTTTAACAGTTGACATTTGAGAAATTAAAATAAAGGTTAATGTAACAAATTTCCTTGATGATTTCTAAAACATAAAAAACAACAGTAGCTTGAATCTAGAGATAAAAATGTTATAATTAATTTGTAAGAATTTGTTGTTGTTGTTGTTAAGGCCTGCAATGGATAGCTTAAACCGATTTTCTCAATATTATCATCCTTGTTAAGTATTGTTAGATAGAGCTAGATTGCGGCTGGCGGTGAAATCCAGGACTCTCGTGTCGTCCTATTCGGGTCTCGTCAATTCAATACACGTAAGTTCGATTGCTGACATTCACTCGAAAGCGAAAGGTTATGGATTTAAGCCCCAGATTTGACCATTAGCTACTATTCAAATCTGCTTACTCCAAATAATAATTATTAATGATATTTCTTCAAAATGAAGATGTTTGTAAAAGTGATAGAGTGATAACTGTAATATTTACTGTATTTTCGTCGTAAAATCAGTTTTTCAGACATCGAAGTACGATTTTGGTTTGATATAGTGTAAAGGAAACCCTGAAACCAGATTTCTCACTATTTAGCACTTGTCAGCAGTGTTCTTAGGATCTTAAGAGAACTGATACCCCCTGGCTGATTTGACATTACGTCACCTAGTTCCACTGTTAGAGACATCATCACAGCTCACGATTAATCTTTATGACAAAAATACTTTTGCAACTGATTGATAAACTGGTAGTGACCAATGTCGCGTATATTAAGCCCCCCTAAGTGCTGTTTCAATTCTGCTTTTAAGTTGCAATGGGATCACTAATTTGAGTGAGTCGAAATTACGGGCATTATGTTGAAGGTATAATACATCAATCCCCTCGAGATTACAAGTACACCTCGCCGACAAGTGATGAATAGCACAAAATCTAAACCCACGGATTCCTGTCGACAACTTCCAAACACAATCTTAGATCTCAGCATGGTGCATTCAATATCAAATCATTTAGATTAGTGGTTACATTGCGACTTGATTAATGTAATTTAATCAGCACCAGGAAGGACTTGATACATATGACATCAGTCACTACTCAGTAATTAATTACTTATGAATCAAAGGATGATGAATGTAAAGAAAAAAACTCAAAACCAAATTTTTATTCTATAAATGAAAGACTGTGTAGTTAACTTTAAAAAATAATTTATTATCTATAAATGTTTTGTTTCTTCAAACTTATTTGGTATTTCATGCTCATAAGTTACTACTTCGAAACTTAAATATACTGAGATTAAATAAATTAACTCATTTGGCTGACTCTAATTACAGTGATTAAAATCCAAGATCGTGACCTTTTTAAAAACGCATTTGTACTTATTTCTTCAAGATAATGAAGTTCTTTGTTGAATAACCCTGAGCAATAAATAATCATATAAATGGGTTTCTGATTAACTGTCAGTTGATCATGCTATATAAAAGATTAGAATTTCAATAAAACTTCTCGTTCTTATGACTTCAGTCGATATTCATCGATATATATATATATATATATATATATATATCATTTAAACTCCATTATATACTCAAATAACTGCCTATTTGAACATGGTGAATTCTATTTCCACATAATTTTATTCACTAGACTATATAAAACAGCCATTTAACTTACCCAGGAATCGACTCCTGGAAGATGTTTTTCAAAAATCTCTGTAATAAGAAAATGATAGAAAAGATTTAGCTTTATCACATGTTAAAACTGTAAATCCTAATAATCTAAATGAACGTGGGAAAAAAGATGAGCTTCATAAGAGTTACAAGCCTATTGACTCAAATTTCAGCAAATTCAAGAGTGTACCCATTCTATGATGATATATTCTGTATAAATGATAAATGAAAAGCTGATTCCGTATAAAACGATGAAATGTATTCGGTAACTTGATATCAATGTGATGTTTCTCTGATGGTAAATATACTTATAACGTAACTTCCATCTGTTATCTGTTAGACATCAAAATTATCTGCTGATTCAAACAAGTTTTGCTGACAAATAATAAACATATTTTAGTTTAAGATATTTCAGCTTTCTTTAACTAATCAATGATTAAGAAATTTACTAATACTGCATAACTAGAAACAATAACTAGGTTATATACTTGATACAGCATTCGTCACACTGGCGAATTTCAATCCTCTCTATTTGTCTATATATATATATATATATATATATATATATATATATATATATATATATATATATATATATATATATATATATATATATATATATATTGGTTATGCTCAGGTAGGTTGTCTTCCAAAGCATGATCATTACGTATAATTTAGATTATGTTTGATTTGTTGTAGCTTACTTTTTCTTTTTTGTATGTTGCAGCCTACTGCTGCAGAGGCTTCTGCTACACTAGCCATCTTCACCTGAATGTACGGTGGCGTATCATATAGAAAAGCTGCGTCATCTCCGAAGTTCATATCGTCTAGCTGCATCTAAGCTGTCCACTGTATTATGTACTTCTCCTAAGATTTTGACGTCTTCTTAATTCAGTTAATCACCAAAATTAAGAAAAACGATTTGGTTAATCAGACTTGTCTGAAAGCAGTCTTCACTTGAATGCATCTTCAGTAGGATATCTTAATTCAGTTTCATTGCTGAAACTGAAGGCTATAATGGCGTAACCAATTTTTCTCAATGGGGCTAGTATTGATAGGTTGTTAGCAAGTAAGATGCAGTCCAGGCATAATGTCATCTGATTGCTTCTTCACCAAGTTGCTGAGTGTGTAGTAATTTCATGTTTACGAAGAAAAACACGGGAGCTGACATAACTTCAGGTCACCACTTGGTTGATGCCGAAATGAAATAGGAACTCAAGAAGCACTGGACAACTGGTTGAACAACATTACAAAAGTTTAATACGGCCTTTCTTTGAAATAATGACAAACTCAGCGAACTTTACAGAGCTCTCGGTAATAAGTTCCAAGCCTTTCACGATCCACCCAATGAAGAGGAAACTACCATGGAGAACAACTGGAAAGGGATTAAAGAAGCAGTAACTTCAACATATCACGAGGTTCTGGGCCACAATAACCACTATCACAATACTACAGTGTATCTGAGAAGACAGTCAACATCATATATAATCCTTATGACAAACCACATTGCAAAATGGTGCGTAGAGGACAGCTCATAGACTCATTCCAAATGAATACCAGTGTCAGACACGGTTTCTAACTCTCATTCTTCCTCCTGGTGGTTGACTGGATTATGAAGACGTCAACATATGAGGGGAAGCAGGGGATACAGTGGACATCTGGGATGAGGCTGGATGATCTAGACTTTATAGATGACCAAGCTCTTCTATCCCACACATCAACAAATGCAGATGAAGACGGACAGTGTAGTGGTAGTCTCTGTAGTGGTAGCTCTCAGCATACAGAAGGGAAAAAGCAAGATCCTTTGATACAACACAACACGCACTAGTCATATCACAGTTGATGGAAAAGCTTTGGCAGATGCGGAGACATTTACATACCTAGGTTTAATCACTGATAAACAAGATGGATTTGATGCGAGTACGAATACACAGATTAGCAAATTAAGGGCGGAACTCACAGAATCTAAACACGTATGGAACTCTGAACAACTTTTGACCAACTCCAAACCCACAGTCTTCATTACCAACGTCAAAAATATTCTATTGCGTGGAGAGGAAACGTGGAGAACTACCAAAACTATCATCCAACAGATACAAGTGTTTACTAACAGTTGTCTACGCACGTTACTGTGTATCCATAGGCGAGATACTGTAAGCATCGACCTATTGTGGGTGATAATAAATCGGGTTCCAGAAGAGGAATAAATTATGAAAGAGCGCTGTGGGTGATTAGGACACACACTACGGAACTCCCTTAGCTGCGTCACCAGACAAGTCCTAACTTGGAATCCTCAAGGTTGAAAGGA